TCTAACTTGATTCAAATTCTAGTATTACTGGCATACTCTACTCTCTCTCTCTCTCTCTCTCTCTATATATATATATATATATATATATATATATATATATATATATATATATATATATATATATATATGTTTCGACACCTTATCTTGTATATATACCGGGTGTAAAAGCAATATTGTCCAAATTGTGTTACAACAATATTGCTCATCTTACAAAATGTTCAATATCGAATAAATCACTAAACTAATTGATTTTTTCCAGTTTTTCAGATAAGACGTTTATCCATCTTGACACCATTTGTTGTAAGAATCACTGAAAATTCCTTTCAGTTATTCACCTAGAAGAGAACAAGTTAAAAACATTTTAAATCGCACCAGTGTCGTCTCAACTGAGCAATGGTGTGAGGAAAAATCATTCAGGCCTTCAGTAATGGTACCAACATTCATACACTGGCTTCCATTTTCAAAGTTTTATTCAAGAACCATCAACGGTGAATAAGTTTAAAAAAGAGGGAACAGTAGAGAGGAAAACTGGATCAGGAGATCCCAACAGCAAAAAGGATCATCATTTCAACTTAGAGTTAAAGAGATCAATTAGAAAAGATCCAATTCAATCCATAAGACGTTTGGCATGTGAGAGAGGAGTTTCAGCTAGGGCAGTGCAAAGAGCAATGAAAAGAGAAAAAGAAATCGTACGTGAAACGTCTGAGGCAACTTTTTACTCTAGGACAGAAAGTTAGAAGGTTAGTGAAGGCGAAGATCATCTTGAATAAGTTGGAAAATGATCCTGAAATAAATATATATATATATATATATATATATATATATATATATATATATATTTGAACTTTATTTCAATCCTTCACGAGCTTCTGATCCTTAGCTATGATTAATTAATGATGAACATATCATTTTCGTTTCTGAACGATTTCATCACGATTCTTCTGTTAAGCTTGGAGAGTAATTATACATTTTGTATTGATCAAAGTAGAGTCCAGTAGTGTTATAAAATCCTCGAAGAATTCCACTAAGATATCTTTAATCATTTTTAAGATACAACGGCCCAAATCTTAATCTAACAATTGGATAATTTTGTTGATACACAATTTGGACAATTTTGATGTTACACCTGGTACATATATATATATATATATATATATATATATATATATATATATATATATATATATATATATATATATATGTGTGTGTGTGTGTGTGTGTGTGTGTGTGTGTGTGAAAGCTATAAAATCCATGGTAAATATTTATATCCGAGCTCAAGAAAATGAACATTTTTTTTTTGCAAGGGAGTTCACTCTATTTCATAATTTGAAAATCACCTCCCTTTGAAAAAAAATCCTTATCTTTCTATAGAATTATTTTGTTGCACTTATTTTGTCGGTGATGCTATATGAAAATGTATTGTTTACGAGGTTTTTGGCTTGTATTTTGTTGACGAAGAAATAGTTGTCTAGAGGTACAATCACAAAGCTGTTATGACGAAAAAGTATATAATCAAATGTGCAAAATTCTTAATATTTTCATTACTTGCAATGTAGAAATAGTTACATTGGCGAGACATCTAGGAATCTAAAAGCCTACATCTACGAACATAAGAAAGATCTGCGTTTGGAGAACCCTTTAAATTCTCTTGTAATACAAAAGAACAAAACTGGCCATAACTTTGATTTTATAAATGTCGCCCTAAAAAAAAAAAGATCATAATTCTTTTTTGCAGGCGGGAATTCGGATACAAAATATTACTATATATATATATATATATATATATATATATATATATATATATATATATATATATATCACTACTACTACAAACATTACTACTACTAATACAACCGGTGTTACGTAAATTTTTCGAACCTGACACAAAACGTCTCCAAAACAGCATGTGGACAACCAACAAACATAAATACAATGCATACTACACACACACACACACGCACACACACACACACACACACACATACATACATTATTATTAGATTTATAAAAGTTGCCTATTTGTTCCTTATCCTATCGGAATTCGATCTGTATTTGATCTATATTTGATGCCAATTCATCAATATACTCAATGTAAAGTATTTTAAGGGAAGGCATTATTTTATGTTAATAACTTATGCTATATATTGGTGGCTTTCGTTCCACGTTGAAATAAGAATGTTATTTCTGGCAGAAATTTACCTAGACAAAGAAAATTTCGAATTCGAACATGGGCCATTGTCTTAACCATCTGGTATAGTGGTTGACCTTCGTATGAAACATCGTCCATTTTTCAAATTCCCTTTATAGATTGTTTACACTTGGTTTCTGTTCTGAAACTACATTTGCGCTGCGTGAATTTAATTATTTTCTAATAGAATATTCTTGGGATATGAATATTTATTCTTAATGAAATCCGAATCCCAAATATTAAACTGAAGAAGTTGATAATAAGAAAAATAAATAAAACTTCTTCCATCAACTCTTAAGAAAAATAAAAAGTCGTGATCAATCCGCAAAAGTAAAATCTATTTGACACGTATTGTCTAAGTACCCAGTATAAAGTGCTTCAGCAAAAATTTAAACCCGGTTTGTCGAGCACGATGTTAGAGCTAAGAAGCTTTATTCCATCAAAGCATTCTCAAGAGATTGAAAGTACTGATTGGAAGATTGTATAGCATCAATCCTCCAGGAAGATTGTTAGTGCTTAACCGGAAATCAAATATCAGATTGTCAACAAAACAATTCTAGCAGCGTTATTATTCTCATCTTCATATATTTTTAGAGCTGCGCTATCAATATTGTGAAAGCTGACATGAGGTGTTCTACTTATGAAACGGATGCAAAATTAATATTTATTTTCAGTTACAGTTTTTGACACTCGATTCTACTATCGATGGAGAAGAGGTTTGCCTCAACAAGAAATGCTCTCATTAATAGATTTTTTACAAAAAGTGGATGAACTTAACCCGAAACCCAAATACACTATAGATGGAAAAACGAACATGGCGGGATGAAGAAAGGCAGGCAGTGAGAGATTATTAAAAAATATTATTATAGGAAAGAAGAAAGGAAAAATCATGATCTAAAAACAAAACCAAAAAAAAAAAAAAATGGAAAAACGATCCCACCTCTCTGATCTTTTGTGTGTTGATGGATTTATTTTGATTCTTGTTCTACTTAACAACATAGGCCAATTGAAAATGGTACTCATTCTGCTGGCTCTCCTCCTCAGATCGCCTATCGACTTTAACTATTATGATCAGCTCTTATTATTGATTCGATTTAACTTGGCACCGTTAGAGTCTAATTCTATGGAAACCTATTAAGACATTTTTGTTAGGAAAGAGTTTTCGACTTTATTACAGTTATCATCTAAAGCAACAAAATGCAACACTTTGACTCTAATAGAGTAGTAGTTGTAAATCTTTCTTCTCTTCGACTATCACTCATAAAGGCATATTAATTTAGGTAGTGATTATACTTGTCTACGCATCGGCATATGGATAGAGGATCACTCAGAATAAGGCGATGATGATGATGATGATAATGATGATGATGATGATGACGACAATTACCATGGAATTGATGTAGCTACGCTCTTTGTGTATTGAGTCCGATGAAGTCCTAAATGATGAACCCCGCCACGAGAAAACTTTTTTTTTTCATTTTGTCATACATTTTCCGCCAATATTGTTTAAAATGAATTGTGGTCCAAATAGGAAGAGGTTTATTGAGGTGAATGTGTAAATTGAAATGTACATGAGGTATATTTAAATTAAGTTAAACATAAAGAAACAACAAATAAGCTGTTTATGAGAGGGACTGTAACGCAAAAATATTAATGTAGCTATACTTTGGTGGAAATAAATCATGTTGGTCACATGACAGTCGCTACGCGACGTCACTCCACACAGTGGTGGAAAGCGGCAATCACAAATTCAGTTCGTTTTTCAGCAACCAAACAAAGAGGCTGCTTTCTTTAGCGTCGACCTCCTAACCCGTGGCGAGGCTAAATCTACTTCCCCATTAGCTTACGAGTCCGTGGTACCCTTTAGATTTGAGGATATATCTTTCCATATATATATATAATGAAACTCCAGCTCGTAGTCCTCAATTTGGGAAAACCCAAAACTCGCTGTTTCCCGTTTGTGGAATATGTCCTCGCTGGGACATAGATGAATCCGGTCCGTTTAAATCTGGAGTCCTACAAATGGCTTCTCCGGGCACGGGTACATCTCAATATTATATATAATAACCTTCCTTTTGTTTCTCCTTAAACTTTGCTTTGATGTGTAGATATATGTGATATATTATTCTCCGCGTGGAATACGAGTATCTATGTACATATATAATTTTGTGTACGGCGTAATATTATAAAAGTCTTTCTGAGAAGAAAGCATTTTTGTCATTCTTTTTCCTTTCGGCCATTCCGTTCAGACCATGAAATATCAATGTTTATTATATCATGGATATAATAATACTCATAACGGAGGAAATACAAATGGGAGAATAAATCTTTCTTCCCTAGTTCTACGTCGTTATACTGCCTTTCGGATTAACTAGGTTGACTGTTACTCATATAAACATAAGAATAGAACTTCGAATAGCGCTCAAATAGTTTTCTATGTAAATAGGTAATGATAATTCCTTTCATGTTAGATGATAAACATTTTGTGCATCTTGATCTGTAACAACCAATTATAAATGCTAAAGCATTTAATTATTCTTCATGTTGCATGATTCAAAATAATTGCACATCTAAGAGGATCTTAACTTTCTCTGATTTAATGATAGCTTCATTATGTTACGCGGTAAAAATCCTTCTATATGAGTTGATTATTGCAATTAGATCCTACCTCAAGTGTGTTTGCATGGACCTGTCAATATTCGAATTTTGTTAACCTCATTTCTTGAAGTATCTCTACTCCGTAATCAGTTGAAAACTTTCATTTCACTCGCTATCTTATTTTGACGATGTGAGATTACTTTAATAGGAAGGCTTACGGCCATATCACGTTGAAACACCGGTTCTCGTATGGTCGCAGAAGTTAAGCAAAGTTGAACCTGGTCAGTATATATAAAAAAATATGGGTGACCACTTGCGAATACCAGGAGCTGTAAGCTTCGATGTGCGAAAAAAAAAAATTCTACATGCAAATCTTTATCGTTGTCAGAAAACTCGGGCGACATGTCGCAAACGTGAATTCATCATGACAGCGAATAAAGAGAGTCAACATTAAAACTCAGAGCCCATCCAGACGACTAATTTATTTGGTTTATCTCGATTTTTGTATAAATTCCCGGCTATTTGCCCAATCACATCAGTTCATGTATATGCTGATAGACACGAGTAATCTTCTAAATTAGATCAGCAGTGACCAATAAATTGCTGGAGTCCAAGAGGTTCTTTTATTTCTAAGGGTAAAATGAAACTTCATAATGTCGACATTAAGAACCGGTTTCTACAGTATTGTAGGCTGACGAATTTGAAAATATAGCTTCAAACTGTTACCGGTTAGCAACAATTTTACATTTTTCGACGGACTCCGGTGGATATGGGGTAAGAAAGAACGAGTTTAAATATTTGCCTGCCACTGTTATTTTTTCGGTTGTCTATTGATACAATGGATGAGAAAGTTTCTCTCTCGGTGAATTAAAAAGAAAAAAAAACTTCATAAAAGATAAAGAAAATTAACGTCAAAAACATCTGATAAGCAGAAACACTAACGGTGAATGAGTTTTTCCTATCATTACTCATGAGTACATCGCTTATTAACAATTTCCTATCATTTTCCTATCATTACTCATGAGTACATCCCGCTTATTAACAAACATTTTTTTACCGTATGAGCCACAACATTCCCTCTTTTTGTCTTAAATTTGACCGTTTCTCGTACGGTCACCAAAGTTAAGTAACCCTCGGCATGAGGAAACGTTTAACGAGACTCTATTCTAGTTGACATTATTATTGACTAGTGCGTTTTATCTTCGTGAGACACGACAGATTTGTGGTCTTGTACCAAACATAATGAATGACAACATCTAGACCCTTGAATATCATCGATTACAGACAGATCTTTAATTTTATGTTTTCGTAGAAACATATTTTTCTACCACCGCATGCAAACAGTGATTTCCAAAAAAATTTTGCTTAATAATTTTTATTTTTCCCACTAGAGCATTTTACTAGCACACAATAGAGCAATCTCGAGACGGCATTGGAAAGGAAACAACTAATTTCAGATTTGTAGATGTACAACTGAGGCCGACTCCATTTAACGTAAGTAAATACTTTTTGTCGTCGTTTTTGTGGAGAGGAATGATCATTATGTTACACGGATTTACTCAGACTCGTATCCCTATCTTAATTGAAATAGTTCAGCCATTTCAAATCTAGTTTTCCAGAGGGCATAAGTTCAATCCTTGAGGTGGTTAGTGCAAAACAAGGCATATGGTGATGTCGTAAGTGTGAACAAAATAGAATTAACTGATATGAGTTATGTTCTACTCATACAGATTTATTTAATTTATTTATTTATTAATTTAGAACTAGTTTAAAATTCCCAAGAGGTCACCAACTACAACCGACACTTGAAGAAGGACAAAGGGTAAAACAACCGAAATATGGTAACTATAGCAATCCAAGTGGAGAAATTAATACAAGTAAATTAGTATATATTAGTTTAATACTGTTTCTTAAAAACATGCCACTTCTCGGCTAAAATAAAGTTGTTTAAAATTCTTTTAACGTTGAACTGTTATGAATTTTTGACTCGTATTTATTTTTGTCTTAATTTTGTCAGATCGGAAATAAAAATGTGAAGGCGTGGGGAGGTTTGAAATTATATCCTTTTTTGCCTCTTGAGCGCCTAATAATCGTCTGGATGTTTTACCGCTAACCTAGGAGAACTCGTCAGTTTTGTTGTGCAAATCGAACCTCTAACTCATTACTAATCACTGTAAGATTAGATGTAAGTAACTAAGTAAAAAATTCGTTGGCAATGTTTCCTGTAATAAAAAGTAAAAATAAGTTTATTGCTAGTGTAGAAAGAACAACAAATATTGCGTCGAGAGAAGTCGTGAAATGGTGTAATGATTTATGGGTTAGATTTGTTCATTGCAATAAAAATCTGACAAGGGATTAAATTTAAAGAGATAAGTACGCAGGAATATAAGTAGGTAGATATCTATGTAGAAAGAGAAGTCGACGAAAAAGAAGACGTGGGAGGTTTGTTAATTGAACAACCGAGTGCGAAATCCTTCTCTCATTCATTTGACGGTTTGCTTCAAGTTAACAAAAATGTGTAATACTAAACTGAAACATTTAAGATATTAATAAGAATAAAATAAAACTAATAATTAACATATGCATTTATTGTATTAATTAATATAATAAAAAGATAGTTTTCCTATAAATATTTTTATGATAATGTCAATATAAATATACGAAGTTTTCGGCTCTTGTTTTGAAACATGGGACTTCTTATGTCGCGATTTGGAATCATATTTTTAAATAAATAATTATATTTATGCTCTACTTTTGTATCGAGCACTATTTTTTAAAAATAATAACTAAAATACTAAGGGACTTTGGATTATTTACCTAACCAGTTCCTTCCTATTTTCTATATATTTTCACACACACACACACACACACACACATATATATATATATATATATATATATATATATATATATATATATATATGTATATGTGTGTGTGTGTGTGTGTGTGTGTGTGTGTGTGCTGGGTGTGTGTGTGTGTGCTGGGTGTGTGTGCTGGGTGTGTGTGTGTGTGTGTGTGTGTGTGTGCTGGGTGTGTGTGTGTGTATGAATTCTCTTCATTTTTAGACAATGTTTCGTTGGTTTTTCTTTCTTCTGTTTCAATTATTTACTCAATCTAAAGCGGGATTCGTTTATTGTCTGATGGTATTATTAACCGTTTCATTCAAAACAAAACTGGCAACACGAGTTGGCCATTGCCAGTCAGTAACGCCCGTTTTGTATGTCTTTCACTTTCTCAGTCTGTCCTTCCATTTTGAAGGTCGCCATGAACACAGACAGACGACTGGAGTAGACATATGTACTTTTAATAGGCTTGACACAATGTCGAGATTCATCGCTCTACCGGTTTCTGCCTGATCAGCAAAGTTTAGAATCATTATTTTTAAATGAAAATTCTCAATGCGAAAGATTGGTTGCATTTCCGAAATCATTTCTCGCTCATCCCAAAGCATAACGAATGCAAAGGCATCCCACGATCCGAGGAAAAGCCAACCGTGGTTTCATTTATCCGTAGTTGGTCTAAGCTGCAAAATTTCGTTTTCAAAACCTTTTTTTTTTTTTTAAATTAACTCTGCTTTGTTTACACTATTCGGGCTGTTGTCTTCATCTTTGTTGTCATGTTTACGACGTTTTGACCGTTCAAGTAATTGGAATTTCGAAGCGAATCTTTTATTTCGTCCACCCTTTATTCTAGTTCCACGTATCATGCCACTTCTGGATATCTCAGTATCAATTATTTCCATTTAACTCAAGTCTTCTGTATCCCGTTATTGAACTCACAACTCTTTGTGTCAAGTCATTGGATTACTTCAACGACTGCTTTTAACCACTCGGCCATTTGTCCTTGAGGACATCAGTGGATAAATTTTGGGGACTTGTAAACCGAATGTCTCAGTAACTATTTTTTACCAGAGCTCATATTACAATTTATTGTTGTTGTTGTTTTTCTCTACCATTCAGTATTGCTGGTTTCCATATTATTGTTGTTTGGACGGCTTAGAAGATTTTTGTGGTCTAGCATATGCGTTGATTCCCCAAGTTTTCATATTTTCCAGTGATGTTCTCTGTCTATTATTTCAGACTTATCCCACGGGGGTGGGGGCGGTGATCTCCCTTTTCTCAATGTAAATAGTGTAAATAATTACAATACCTCATCTCAGAAATATATAGAGATAAAACTCCTTTGCAGAAATAAATTTCAAATAAGTAAAAACAATAACAATAAAAAACATAAAAATAAACATACATATAGATTAATGTCTAAAAATAATAATAATAATAACAACAATAACAATAATAATAATATCATCTTTGAAAATCTTCAAAAACTATCAAAATACAAAGACCTTGAAATCGAAATCTCAAAAATGTGGCACACAAGGACATTAACAAATCCAGTTGTAGTGGAACGTTCGTTTTGATGCGAAAAGATACCAATAGATTTATTTAGGGAATCCATGGTAACCCATGCCTTAAAGAAATATAAAAATTGTATTCACAAATACAGCCCACATCTTACGAAGGGCTTTATATCTGTAAAATATGTATTTTAAAAGTTCAAAAATGTCTTCAATTAAAATGTCTTCATGCCATAAATTTGTTGTATCCTGTGAGGAATAGCTCAAATTAACAGAAAAATGTTTAATTTTTTCACTAATCAAATAATTTTGCCTTATTTAATTTTTTTTTCAGTTGGTTTATCAAACAAGATTTCTTTGTGGGTGTATTTTGAAGCGGCTATCCTTCCATTCGCCGTGACAATTCCTATTTAATTTTTTCGGTTTGGTTTTAAACCAATCATTAATTTCGATGTTCAGCCAATAATCACAAGTTCGGATTAATCAATAGAATTTGTCATTATAAGATAAGAACAACAAAGTATAGAGATAGATAGATAGATAGATAGATAGATAGATAGATAGATAGATAGATAGATAGATAGAGAGAGAGGGAAAGAGAGAGAGAGAGAAGGGGAAAATATGTGTGTATAGCCACCATAAAGTGTTGATTTTTCCGTATGTAATGCTTATATTTGTACATACTTTTTTCCCTTATATCGAGCACTCCTTTCTCTACCGCAATTCTTTTTTTAACCATTATATAGTGACAATATATATATATATATATATATAAATAAAGTGAACACTGAAGTCAACACTTAAGCGTATTTATTTTTAGATAAACACGCCAGTGAGTGAGAGAACTCGATTTGTTTTATCGAAGAGTATTGCATTAGTAGCAGTATTAGTCACTGTTTACAAACTCACACTTTCTACTCCGAGAGCTCAACCGAAATAATTTGTCAGGAGCATACACACACACACACACACACACAC